TAAATCGAAATTAAACTGAAACTGCTCATCTTTCGTGAAAGTAGATGTAACAGATTCATGTATGGTCTGTTGTTTAATTTTAGAAACTTCAAACATTTTCTTCCTTTCTACATGAAGAGTCGTTCTGACATGTTGCGTCACGTTATATTTTTTATCACTTTGAATCTAAAACAACGTACATATACAGGATTAACAAAGGAAAATAGATAAAAGAAAATTAGTGGGCTTACGGTTTTCACACAAGCTCTGCAGAATATTTTGTTGTTTTCTAATTTTAATTCTGGAAAATCCCTTATCCACTCATCCGGCGTCGATTTTACTTTCGGCATTCTTTTAAAATATAAGTAATATTACCAAAAAGAACTCAACATGTAACGAGGGAGAACCACGTATAACACTGTACTACGACAGATCGATAGACTGATGGTTGTGAAATAAACGGTTCATTTACTTAAAAGTTTCCATTGGAAAAATTTTAAGGTAGGTATTTGGATACAATAATCCTTTTTTCTAGAAAATCTTCAACGGTCTTGCCGCAAAATGCCGAAAAAGAACATCTGGTTAAAATCTTTAATTCATTATCAACGGAAGTAAGGATTTAAAGTCATAAAACCTATGGAGTATTTTTCCAATCCTATAATAAAATTTTATTACCCAAACGACCGGAACCTATTCACAGAAAGGGTCTTGAGTAAGTGTACTTCAATGGTCAAGTCCAGGTAAAATGCATACGTTACGATACGGCTAACTAACAAGTATTTGTCATCCTGACAAGGCCGGTATTTGAACAAAATATGCATTAAAACTCATATTCGTCGAAAAAAGCATTAAATAAGCATATAAGTTTTAATATGCATAAAATTGAGAAAAAAGCAAATAAGCATAAAAAAAAATGTGTCAAATGACTCCAAATTGTATCATAGTTACAGATATAAAAAAGTTTTGAAGTGCTTACATTTTTCACAAAAGCATTAAACCTAGAAATCCGCGCTCTAATCATGCCTATTGTTAATATAATGATCTCTAACATCCTTGTAATTATACTTAGTACCACTATATAGTGTATGTATTATTACAAGCAAGAGGAAAATGGTAATAGTGATTAAATAAAAGCTAATTTTAATAAAAAAAAGTTTTTTAAGTTTTAATTACCATATCAGTTATATTCAAAATATTGACGTATTAATAAAGCTCCAACAAAAAGTTTGTCTCCACAGTAATTTGAAAAGAGATTTACTTAAAAAAAAACTTTGATGTGACGTTGTAATAACATTTGGTGCCTTTGAGAGCTTACGCTCTAAGAATTCAGACTTTTATAATTTTATATGTGGACATGAATTTGAGCTTATAGCAATAACTAGCGAATAATGGCCTGAGAATTATAGTGTTTTCCGTAAGGATGGATATATATAGTAATGCAACTGGGCTACCAACAGGTGGTGAAATTATACACGCGATGAGAAACTATTTTATGTACCTCCATAGAGTTGCATTTATCTTCCATTTGCGACATTATTCCACATATTCATATAATGGGAGTTAAGATTACAAATGACACTAATAACCGTAAACTTCTTATATTTGTTTCGTACATTCGTCCATAAAACTATGGACAGATTATGAATTGTTTTTTGAAGGTTATAAGTCTTTTGGAATTTTAACTACAACCACAACATATTATCAGCTGTGGGGGAGATCAGTATCCCTAGCTACATATTAAACACTATAGATAAAACCTGCCTTACGATAAATATCTATAGAAACTTTGATGGATTGCGTAAATATAACAATATTCTGAACAACAACCACCACATCTCGTATTTTCTAATTTTAATATCTAGGTATGGATGTTGTTCACTTGTGCGCCGCGGTGTGTGGCAAGTCTAATCGCCAAAAAGATCATAAGACACTTGCGCACAAATGAGTTTTACAGTAAGTCTAGCAGTATAGGCATAAAAATATCAGCAGATCTGCTTATTTAAAAAATGTTTCTTATAGATTTAAAAAAAAATAAGTAATTTCTTAATGCACTGTTTTATTTTTTATAAGATGAACCTATTGGTAGAAAATCTAAAAGCAATAAAAATATTTTCACCTCTATATACATATTTAACGCATACTAAATACGTGTGTAATAGTGTGAAAGCTAAATTAGTTCTCCGAATATTTATTTATTTTAATGTGGCTAACACCCATGTAAACTACTACGGTAGGCAGCTACTGTAACTCTTAAAATTGTATACAAATTTTTCTGATCGTTGCTCACAACAGTCCCTTACCTCTCAGATAGTTTCTCCACAACTGTCTCTACATGATACAATTAAATAGGGGGAGGGGGACTAGTTTTTTTGCACAAAAGTATTTCCCCCATGGAATGATTAAATTTTAAATCTGGACATTTTTTTGTAGAATGTCTATTTTTCGGGATATTTAAAAGTTTCTGGTTAAAAAAATCACCCTGTATATATAATTATAATACGTACAGTCACATTGTACGCATCATAACAACTTGTCAACACGGTTTCATGAAAGTTAAATCTAGCTGCACTGATTTAACCGAATTCACATAGTTGGTGTCCACTGCCTTGAACCAAAAGAATCAAGTTGATGTGATATATATTATGGACGTTTGAAAAGTTTTTGACACCGTAAATGCTGATGCGTTTGCGCATTTTTTTTCCAGGTCTTTTCATCCTGTTAGTAGCACCTCATCAAATACATCCGTTGATAGGGATCTTGTGAGTACGTTAAATCAAAATAAGTATATTACATGTTAGAAAAATTAATGAGTCTGAAGTGCTTACAGCCATCAGGAAACTAAATCCGACGTTAACCGCTGGGCCCGATGAGATTCCGTTATTCTTTGTGAAAAACGGTGGCATAATTTTAGCTCCTCCACTTACAGTTTATACAACTTGATTTTGGGTAATTCAAAATTTCTTGACAAATAATAAAATATTCTATTGCAAAAACTGGAGGGTTTTGGTTTTTCCGACGTTTTGCTAAGTGTCTTTAAATTTTATCTAAGCAACAGATATCAGTTTGTATTTTGTAACAGTTGCTTCTCATGTCAGTTTCCACAGACATCTGGTGCACCGCAGGGCTCGGTGTTGGGACCATTGTTGTTTATAATGTATATCAATGATATTATCGGTGTTCTGGACGTTCCTTCCTTGCTTTATGCAGATGATTTGAAAATCTTTTTTCGCGTACAGTCATCTTTGGATTGTATTCGTCTACAAGACAACTTGAATCGTTTGTTGCTATGGTCGGAAAAAATAATTTGCTATTAAACGCTAATAAATGCCCCGTCAAGTCATATTCGACTAAACTGTCAAATGTGGTACACAACTACGCCTTGGATCAAAAAGTCCTGCAACGTTCTGATTATGTATGTGACTTGGGTATCACATATGATGCTAAATTAAGTTTCAATAAAGACCATGAGCTTACCTCGACCTCGGCGCATACATCATTAGGCTTTGTCATGGTACAAATAAATATGGTATGACTAGCAGCCAGACGAAAATATTGCCTTTCTGCGCATCGTTAATGACGTCAGTTGGCTGCACAGTCCTTGATGGAATTCTGTCAGACTTATGTGAAGCGTCATATCATTGTTGTCAAATGTCATTTATACGTCAAACCATGGCCGACTAGTATAAAGATTATGGCCTGTCCAAAGGAATGTCAAAGGTACATTACGTGCTGCCATCTATTAATAATTCAAAAACGACAAAAGAATTATTAACACCTTTTGAAAGGCACAAAGGCATTCATACCGAAACAAACCACCATTACACGTTTTGAAGTCCCATAATGTCAAGTCAAATTAAAATTTTGCTAAATTATTAAGTGTAATTATTAATAGATGGCAACACGTATCGTACCTCTTGGACAGGCCATAATCTTTATACTAGTCGGCCATGGTCAAACATACCATTACTAGCGTAAATAATTTAATTATAAAAGTTTGTGATTTGATTATGTATGTAAATAACTTTTCTAAATAAGCAAGTTTTTCAAGTGTAGTAATGTGACAATTACCTTTAATAAAAATATGAAATTATTGTTCATCGATGGCTGATTCGATTGATTCAGATGAAAACTTCAGAAAGGAGCGGTATGTGTGTATATGTAGGAGACAAAGCGCATAATAAGTAATAACTTGCATTTTACACTTACAGATAATGTTATTCCTCCTGAATTGGCCAAAAACGAGTTCACCTCTGGAATCCCATCAAATTTATGTCAACTGAAGATTTATGAAATCCGAGGACATCGACACTAAAATGAAGAGTGGACCACGTGTTTTGAAGTCTTTGAGGTAACATTAATTAGTGTCTTTATTTTCCACAAACTTTTTTCATTTTCTTGGCACTACGTCTTTTTGAATATCGGATTCTTATATATGTTCTAGTACGCACTAAACAGCTTAAAACCTCATGTGGTACACTTATTAAGTTTTTAGCTTTTTCTTCAACCAAATTTACCAACGTTTTGATAATATTTGGTGTTTTCTGAATTTCAGACCCATGAAAAGATAGAAACATGGTTTCAACAATTTGAGCTGCATACAAAAGTTCTTCAGATGGTCGCACTAATCTACCTTCAGACAAAAAATCTATCCAATCCATATTTGAAGTTGATGGTACAGGATTGTCTTCGTTTATTGTTGTGCCAAGAAGAGGATACTTTAGGCGATACCGATGTGCAACATATCCTGCCAAATACTTGAGACCTTCTGTATTAATTAACCCTTTTCCTGTAAGCAAAGTGAGTAGACATTATATAAATTCCAATGATACAGAGTGAGACAACATCGCGCAGGCGAAGTCAGATTTTTGGAGCATTCTGTCAAAGTGGTTTGTTGTTACAGGCCTTTGCTTTGCTGCCGGAGTGCCGGATACTATTTCCAATGTGGTTTTTACGATGCGTGCGCACGGAAAGTCACCATGGAAGTTTTACGATCTTACAGGAAAAGGGTCAATTACTACTGATGGCGAAACAATGTCCCCATCCCATTCATCATTCACAAACTGCAAACATTCAATGAGATCACTCTCATCCACATTTGCCTCTAAAGTGGAATGCTGTTGTGATGGGTTCATTAAGGACTGCAATAGAGGTGCCGTGAGACAATCTGGGCCCTCCAAAGGACCTGTTAAGTTTGTTGCATCATCCGCCTCGCAATTTTTATTTTCTCCTAAAGATGGTGAGTGTTTACCTAAAATGTACCATTTTAGGCGGTGCATAAACTCAATAGGGGTAGGGTTTTCATTGGTTCCACCCATTGCTCGAATATAAGAAAAAAAAAAAATTCTAAAATGTCCTGGTTTAAACGTCGTGTGATGATATACTCCAAGTCATAATGTTTACGGAGATAGCAATAGAGCCCTTTTAATGAGTTGTCTATTAGTTGCTCGTAAGTGTGTCATAACATGAGTCATTTTATCTAAAATTGCATCTTGAACTGCTAAATTCACTCCGTACGCATTTTTGCCTCTTTTTGACAACTTCTGAGAACTATTATGTACGTCAAACCATTGATTAACCAACTCAATAAAATTAGATAACTCTTTATAGTAAGCATCTTCAATAATATTTTTGTCCTCGCAAAACTTTATAACAGAGGCTGTCGTGTGAGACATCAATTTTGCAGCCGTTTTGACCTTCTGACGTTGGGAACCCTTAACATCTAAGAGATGTCTACTTAATTTATGAGCAATTGTCACTTCAGCATTGGCAGATTTTTCCAAAACCTTTTCGATACAATCTTTTGACAAAACTTTGCCCTCTAAAGTGAAACGATCATCTAAAAAGTGGTTCCGCAACAGTTTTAACAAATGTGGCACATACGCAAAAACAAATATTAATTTACTTTCATCACAGGGATGCGTGAAAGTGTTTTTAGATGTGTCAATTCCCAGGTCCTTCCATAGCCGCTGATTTGTGGAGCCCATATCACTGACCATAGGGACAACAATATAATTACTATTATGTAAAGTTGCAATTGCCTCTTCAAGTATGTTTTTTGTTACCGCTTGGTCAAAGTCATAATATACTGGTTGCTTCCAATTGGAGCATAATCCCCGAGCAGTCATCACCTGAACCGTGCGATTGGGACCAAATACCATTTCGCATTTGATCTCTAAACAAATTTGACTTTTGATGAACATTTCATCAAAACTTATGACTGTAAGCCGTTCAGTAACTGAAAGATCCTTTGCTTTTTGCTGCATTAACTTTGCAACATTTTTTAGGTGTCCTGGTCTAACGTCAAATGTAGCAGCCCAACGTCGCAGTGTGCTCAGGGATGGAAGAGGGAAATGACAATGGTATCTTAGGTATCGATAGGCTTTTGCAATAACACTTCTTAAAGAAGTAGCTGAAGAAATATCTTCTGGTGACCATTTTACGTTACTTCCAGACATTAAACTCCTTATCTGGCCTGGAGTAAACAACACATTTACGGCATCCGCAATTTTCAAATTATCGTTTAATTGTTTTTGCAAAATGTTTTTTTCCTCAGTTACTTCTTTTAATTCTCTCTGAAGCTTTTTGACTTCATTGTCTCTCTTTGTAATGCCTTGCTTCCACTCAGATCTTTTCTCCTCCAACTGTAATCTGTATGGACACTCAGAGGCATAATGTTTTAGTGGGAAAACGTCCTTTCCTATAGCTTCCCTACTTTCAGCTTTTTTAATGTGGAATAAATTCTTTGCGATAAATTTCTTTTTTAGCGATGTGACACTCATTGTAGATCCACTTTTGTCTGGTGTGAAAGGACCTGCTGTAGATGAACGTCGAGCTATCGGCGACTGTTGAGCACAGGGTGATCGTCGCGTAATAGGTGAACGTTGTGCTGAAGGCGAATTTTGAGAAGCTACAGAAACAGTTTTTGTCGGTACTGCTGACATCATGATGCGTTTTCTGGATTATAATCCAGAAGTTTTTGTTGAAGGCATTTATAGTCGAATTTGTCCGAAAAATGTTGGGAACAAATACGAGCTGAAATCAATTGTTTTAATGTCTTGTCTGTAACGTAATAACTGACAGGTTCTAATGACTGCTAGATTTACCATTTTTTGTATTGAGAACGCGCGTACTGTTACAAAATTGCACCCATTTTTCACACAACTCAGGCTCTTTGGGAAATCTATAAAAATGTACATTTTTTGTTTTTCGTTGGTTATTTTTACAACCAGACACTGCACAAGTTGCCATCACAAATTAAATTATTGGTGTGTCGTAAGGTTAATAAAAACTAACTAGTCAGCAATTTACGTTTCTTTATTTTACCTACAAAACTCAAAACATTCGTAAGTGGTGGTTGGGTAGTTGCGTTGGTAAGCACTTGAAATGAACACTATTTTCTTCGAGCAAAATTCAAATGTGGCGCCTACTTTTGCAGCCGGGTGACGTCACACAAAATGCGTATAATGTGTTTGTATCATGGGCTTTGTTCTCCGCAACGCGGCGGAATTTAAAGACCTTGATGTTTTAAGGCTTGTCTTTGTATCATATGTCAGATCCGTTTTGGAGTATGCAAGATTTCAAAGCATTCGGTTTTGCAGTTCCTGAATAAATCAATAAAATAAATTCACGCATTTATTAACGATTTTGAGACACCCCGTATAAGCAAATCTAAAAACTATGAATGGAATTATAAATCACATGTGTAGACTCATCAGATTTTGGACATTTTAGATAGGATTTATTCGGCAAAATTTTGAGATGACGTAATCATTTTTTGGATACATTTAGAATAAAAAGTTACCATGCTTACAATAACTGCAAAACGTCAAGATCACAAACTATTCAGTTTTACAATTCTTGATTTAATCAATAAAATAAATTGACTCTCATTCATTAATTTTTTTGAGTCACTCTGTATATGCAAATGCAAAAAATATGAATGGAATGATAAATCACAAGTACAGACTCATCATGTTTTGTACATTTTAGATAGGACGCATTCATCAAAATTTTGGGGTGACGTAATCAATTTTTTAGGGAGGATGAGCAAATACATTTTGATTAAAAATTTATCACCAATTTTTTGGAGGGGATAAGTAAATATATTTTAATTAAAAATTGATCATGCGCTTATCATAACTATAAACCATCTGCAAGATTTCAAAGCATTCGGTTTTGCAGCTGCAACAGGTTTCATAATTTTGATTTTTTTCCACAAATATGGACGTTTCGGGTAAAAACTCAATTCGAAGTCATAAACTACATGTGTAGGACTATGTTATTTTATACAACATAAAACTCACTTACTATGTATAATTTTGAAGTGACATTATTGGTGGAGATGATTAGACAAATTTTGGTTAGCGTTTTACCATCTACATGATATTCCTAATATAAATACAAACTTTGACAACAATCGGTCTAGTATCTGGAGATTATCTGGACAGACGGACAGACAGACAGACGGAAACGGGAGACCTATTTCTTCGTACTGTAGGGGTCATGAAAGCTGGAGAAAACGTAAAAGTAGGGAGTTGGTTGACGGACTCGCTTACAATACTTCCTTCACTTACGCTCGGGAAGTAACAAAACGAAAAGGAGATAATATAAAGTAAAACAGAATTTCTACATACTAACATAAGTAATAATTAATAATAATTAATCTTTCTTATTATGTCATTCGTCAACGTTTAAAGATCTAGGAGTGCCTAGTAATGGATTAATCCTTAACTTTTATACCACCTTATGCGAATGTATACTCAAAGGCGTTAAATATTGTTACGTTGATCGGTTTTTTGGTATCCTAATTACAATGTGCACATTAAACTGTTAGCATATTATATAATATTATATAATATCTGTACAACAGGGAAGACGGACACCATCTGCAACACAATTACTCACATCTTAGATTACATTAATGATGTATCCCAATATTTCACCTGGAATAACTTTTATAACTATAACAACCTAGCACATATGCGCAAACTAAAATTTGTGTTCTTCCCGTTACAGTAAAATGGGCTGCTTATATGATTATAAGTATAACGAACAATACCCTTGCGCAAATACTGTTTTATATGTACTGCGATATGATAGGAGAACTGATTTTACATTACTATTATTAAGAGTTATGGATTCAGTGGGAGGTAATAATGTTGTATGAAGCAAAAGAGGAGGCATACATTGTTTACAATGTTGTAAAAAATATATAAAAACATATTTTACAACGTTTGAAAGTTTCTTTTCTTAAGTACGGGTATAAGAAACGATCACATCAATGTTTGAATTTTGAGCACCTTTTAGGGGCCATGAAACATCAAGAAAACATGAAATTTCCCATTTGTCAAAAAAACCCCGTTACAATATTTCTCTCCTTTAGGCGCACACAGTAAAAAAGTTAATAATACTCGTATTTACGTTATAACATTTATTAATATCTTACATTAGTAAATCAAAAATTAATTTATCAAACTAAAACCAATTTTCAAAATTCACAAACATGTACATATTAGGGATAATTAAAATATCTATAAAAATATCAAAACTAAAATTTTCAATATTTTATAAGTCTCAGTTTAGTTTTTATAGCACCAATTTATTAGTAACTGGTTCACAGCTTTTACATCGATGCCGTGCTGTTCGAATATTCTTGTTTAATCCTTTAAGTGGCCGACAGCGTTTTGCTATTGTTTGCGGTTGGCAGTGGTTTAATCTTTAGGTGGCCCACCTGTTGTTTGCAACATATAATGTTACGCAATATTGTGTATAATGTTACAAAATACTAGCACTTTATTCGAATGTTTAATATTACCCTTCACCCAATTCCCCAATTTTGCTGGTTGTCATCTCATTAAATATACCAAAATTTCATTAAACTTTCATTGAGGTTTAAGTAAGAAGTTCGAAACACGATCATTTATTATAAATACAGTTATTATTTATTTATATTTTTTTATTTGTGAAATGTTAGCTAGTAATAAAGGAAGCATATTCCACAGAAGTTTGAGCCAACTTACAGCAAAGCTAAAGTATATAAATTAAGCGATATATAATTTATTTCAGTTTTAACAAATAAGAAGTTCTTATGTGGGTACTCGGAAAAATATGTTAAGAAGTTTCATGCTTTCTCGATGAGTCGTGACCTCTATACGAAAAGTAGAACCCTCGTTTCCGTCTGCATATCTGTCTGTTTGTCCGCTGTGCGTGTCGAATTTTTATTATTGCTGTAATAATTGAAAACTATGCAAATGTTACGTGCATACATACAGGATGAATACAAGGCAAGCAGAAAACGTAATTACGTGGAAGCAACCCGAGTTTTTTATAGCAGAATGGTAGAAAACTATAAACAACTTAAAATTGTTGTGTACCTGTTAGCCGTGTTATGTATATATGTATAAAAAAGACTATTCTTCCACAACGATTTAAAATCAATGTTTTCTAATGGCTAATTATATTTAAGCTCACCCGTTCAAGGAGACTCCGAATTCAAAATATATGGAATACCGTTTGTTTAATATTTTAATAATTTTACATATTTTGTATACGTCTAAAACGCAGGCATATGTTTCCAAAAAATTACTACCAGTGTTTATATTGCCGTATTTATTATTCAAATGTAAACATTTTTGTAAGTTTTTTTTTCCCGAACATAAGCTTTTTAATAAACTCTTTTTGATATGAATTAGATATTATTTTGTGAGAGTGGAAGTTTCACTTTGTTCGTTACCCAAACTTCCACACTCACAAAATAAAATCACTTTTAACATGAATATCATACACTATTTTTGTGTAAACACTGTAAAAAGGAACAAAAAGACCGAATTGTTAGTTTTTAAAACGAAATGAACAACATCGGGATAGATGTAAACAAATTCATAGAAACAGTTTGTTGCTAGTTAAAACAAAATATTCCATAAATGTTTGGAAGCATTTACTAAAGAAAACGAAGAAAACGATGCAGTACCAGAAGAAGTCGAAGAAGCAGCTAAGAGAGCTACCCTCGATTTGCTCCCAACGAAGTCGAGGCAGCTGTTCGAGGTCGCTTACAGCCGATATTTTTTATGAACAATTTTAATTTTAACACCATTCCAGACATTTATATATAGCTTTTTAATACAAAGATAAAAGTTAATGAATTTTTATTCAACTCCTTTTGGAGTATTGAGTTATTCAACTCCTTTTGGAGTATTGAGTAGTCGGTTGGTATAATACGTTTTTAATTAGCTGGTAAACGAATTATAGTATATCATCGAAGCCGATCTTAAATTGTCGTCAGTGACAAATAAATTAATAGCACTATACATATAGACATTTCATTGTTACTTCACCATCGTTTAATTCTTGAGGTCAGCTTCACCACAAACCGACATTACGAATATTCTTTTGCAGTAGACGTGACAAACACAATAAGCAAAGTTTTTATGGCTATTGTTGTGAACAAATAAAGAACCTAACACTTTGACACCCTTTTTTTATTACAATCACTAACAGCTATATGTTCAGGTTAATAATATCTTTGGCGCCCAGATTTCTTATTTTGAATGTATAAAGATAAATGACAAAATTATAAGAGGCCAATTAGCTAAGTTTCACCGGATGACTTTAGAGTAACAAGTTGGTTTGAATATTAAAAAATGGACTTTGAGGGATATTTATTAAAATTATTTCAATGGAACGTCTTTGAAAAAAATTTTCTTCAACCGTGGCATTTTACCAGAAAAAGCAGGTTGAATTGAAGAAGTCGCTTTTTCATGTAGATATCTAATTTCCGATAAACAAATGTCAACAATGTTTTTGGTACAATTTATTTCCGAAATTTCCGTAAAGATTTTATTGAGATATTGATTTTTAAAGATACGTGATGAAACATTTCACCAAAATTAAAAAATATATCTTGATAATTAAAAAAAGTGCCCTTGCGTTATATAGAGGAAGCTGTGTGAATTTTACGACAATAAATCTGTTATTATTAGAGTTATTACATGCTGAAAATATATTGAAAGTCAAACCTAGCAAGTGGTCTTTAAGATTCACCTTCTTTAAAAATTTAATGAAGTCACCTTAAAAAGGTCGATAAGTAATTATCAATTTTTTTAAATCTTTATTGACCTATTAATTCAAAAACGACCGATTTAATTTTCCTAAAATTATCGGAACACAGTAACATTATTATTTATTATAGTGTTTACAATACGCATATTGAAATTATTAATATTAAGCGAATCTTTATTGAAGAACAGGCTCTACATACTTATAGATTTGATTGTACTTCAGGGGCAACGGGAGGTCTATCTTAGTAAATTTTAGACCAATATTTTCACAATTTTGATCTAATCATTGGTACATTTTATTTAATAAATTTATTTAGCAATTATTAATAAAGGTTGCCTTAAAAAATTTCGTTTTTAATGTAAATGAAAATGTTTTCATCAACCAATGTTTGTAAATTATTTTGTAAGTGTGTATAACGTCTCTAAATAAATAAATTTCTTAAAAAAATTTCATTATTTACATATATTTTTGTAGGCAAAATATGAGCGCATGTCATCAAAATTTTGGCTTGCAAATGAGAGTTTTAACTGTGTTGTTAGCACTGAAATGAACATGCAGCAGCTCCGTTAGCCCATATTTGTACTTGATGTTTATTTTTGTTTTAAAATATTATATGTTCAACCTACAGCGAAAGCAACTTTTTACCACATGAAAACCTGAATATTAGCTATTCTATCACTCATCACTCCCCCAACGTAAACTTCCAGTAAGCAACCCTCACCTGCCAACAAATTTTGCATCATTAGGCTGGTGTAAATTGTACAGACGACTGCTGATAATGTTAAATTTGTTAGCTAAACATCCGTCACGCGAAAAAAGTGTAAAACTTTAAAAAATAACTTACCCCAGAATGAGTCTTGGAAGGATCTGAAACAAACATAAAAAAATGTCATTAATGTTTCCAATGTCTATTTACTATTCATTCACTTAACAAAACCTATGAACAATAAAGCAGCTTTCAAAGCACAAAACTTTGCACTCTTAAAGTTGTACTAATTTCACGCACCCACTTAGTACTTCACATTATTTTCAGAAGATTAAGCATCTGAAGATGATTTACGTCAAAGGTCGCAAGAATTTTTCCGTCGAAACACACCCTACCTTCGAGCTCGGCTTCTAAGAGATTCTGAATGGAATTTAATTTTCCCATCTTAATTGGTCCCTGCGATTTGTAACATCCCCTCCGCACAGACTTCGGCAAATTATTGAGATAGTTAGAGATCCTTGATGGTCACCAATGAGTATAGACAAAGAGCTTTAGTCGTGGAATATGGATCTAAATTTTTAAACATAAAAGATTTTTCTGCAAAGAAAACACACAAAAGCGAAATGGAATCTATTATTTACGAATGAATAATAATCACCTTTTCCAAGTTTACCTTGGAAAGCGGTCTCATTTTAATACCGTAAGTGACCCTATTTTATAATTTTGCGTATAAAAAGCGAGAAAGTTCTTCAAGACAATTCGTTTTCACAAAACCCAATGAAAAAAGTTTTAAATGGGAACGCGCCTTTTGCCTTTCGATATCCATACCAGTGCGATGAAATAAGATATTCAAAAAATGTATTTAATGAGAGCAAAAGGAAAACAACTTGGCGAATATTGAATTTATCGGGGTGATTTAAGCGAGCAAGTATTTTGTTTTGATAGGGACCAAGATCAAAGGGTGTTTTTTTTAAGTCGTCTTTTACAAAAAGTTCGGCGATGTTATATCTGCAAATGTGTCTATATAAGAACTGCAGGGGCGTGTTAAAGGCATCCTTAGAGAGAAAAGATGTTTTTATAAGTAACATAAAGAGAATTGGGGTTTACTTTCACGATGTTGGTAAACATGTAGCATTATTCATTTAAAGAAATTTGTTTGTGGTAGAAATAATAAACACCACGTGACGCTGACGGACTATTTTTTGTAATTTATTTTTCAAGAGAAGTAGAAGATCGGAATACGTGAAATGCAGGTACGCTGCAAATTTTTAACGCTTTATATTAATTTTGTATCTTATGGATCTTTTAATTAATTAATGACAGTTATATATACTCTCTCTTGTAATAACGCATCTTCCTCTTATTCCAACAGATAAAAAAATATAACCTTATAATTCAGTTGTAAGTTAGTGAGTATATTAAAACATTAATTTATAAACGTGATATTTATTATTGGTTTTAATTTCTGAATCCGATTATACATATTGTGCTACCAAAGTTATGTGTCTATTTTTAAGAATGTAATGTAAAAATTGATAACTATCCTAAATAAAAATACTCAACCCACCCAACGCACTTTTCTAGGTGACGGTTCTGAAAATAAACCTATTCCATATGATATACAATACAAACAGTCAACAAAGTAACAAAATTTTGTAATGGAATAACTCACTTGAAATACCACGTAGCACCCTTCTTTACCTTTCCTTTAAAGTCACATGCATATCTTTATTTTAACTTATAAGAGTCATCATAAAACAATAAAATTTGCAACATCAAATCTTTAATTTTTCGGAAAAGCTATGTATGTTGTACTGTACTTCAGGACCGTTCAGGATAAAGGAGGTCCTGTCGAAACAACCTTTGATTACTTATACGTAAATAAATAAAATACAATTGTTTTGATAATTGTTATTAATCAAATAATCTTTGTCTCCGTTTTTTTGTTTTTAAATAAGTATGTAAAAATATATAAAGCGTTACACAAAAATACAACTTACTTTTAAACATAACACCCTTAAATTGTAGCCCTAATTGGGTTTTGCTAGAGTACGTCAAAGTACTGTTGGGAAACGCTGTATGAGACAAAGTTTATATTCTTTTACAAAGTTTTCTAATACGAATAAATTTTAGGAATTAATGTATGTACCACTTTCGTCGTGTTAGTACACCATCCTGTCTATAAACATTTTATAGAAAATTCCTCTCTCACTTCGGAAACAAAACCAATACTGTTTGCAGGGAGATACACATTTTTTTAATTTATTGAGTTGAGACTGTCAGTTTTTTAATGGGGATGATGTACACATGGTGGATGGTATAGTGTGTGGGCGAAATTACGCCACCATCTCATCGGAAGATGCTCTTTGAACTCACTGTGCCGGCAGTGTTGTGTTGTGTATAAACGTGTTATGCATGCACCGTTATTTTAGTCGGAGTAACTACAAGGTGATTGCGAAATACATGCAAAAAAAAAATGGGAAATAGCTCACAATATGATTATGTCACTGGGTAAAATTCAAGGTCCTAGGTAGTAGCAGTGTCTAGAAAAAATTATTTGAAATTAAATGTAAATTGTTGTACGCGCCGCTGGACTGTTTTGTGACCTACATAATTACTACAATGAATGGAACAGAGCGAGTCGGACTAAGAACCAAAAAAGTGACTTTATCAGGCACTTTTTTAATCGCAACGTGAAAAACACGAAAAGGGCCAGTTAGCATCGAGCGGTCGGTGAAATCGGTTTATGGTGGAGTTTTCCCATGCAGATTATGTCGATATGGGTAATTGGTGTGCGCGAAAATTTGCATCAGTGGTACAGCAACTCCGAGATCATGGTACCTTCAACTTCAAACTCACGATCGTGGCCGTGATAGGACAGAAAGAAGAAGTTGGATTTTCACAGCTTGTAGTGCATCCTACATTAAAAGAATACGGCCACATCCATACCATGTTGACAAAGTACAGGGTTTGGAGCCCGCTGATTGTCCACGTTGTGTAACTCACTTTTTATCCGATCAAACTCCACATAGTCGTCAACAAGTACGATTGCAAGAGACGGTTTTCGATAAATGTGTATCGGTTGGATGAAACAGTTTGTTTGTGGAAATCAACAGTGTCCAGAAATTATCGAAGAGCTTCAACAAGTGAAAGTGGCAGCCGCTACTCCGGTGTTTTTTTACCTATCAACAAACCTCTTGCGACGCTCTGACGCCTGTATTGCTAGTCAAGGACAACATTTTCAACATTTCTTGTAAAAAGGTAGTAGCATTCTAAGTTCCTCTTATTTCTGTTCCAATAAACAATCTAAAATCGTTGTGACAAGGACCAAACATCCGTCAGAATCAAAATTACCAAAAAACTTTCACACTGACCTTTAACGATGAATGAGTAAATGAATGAACGAATGATAAGCAGCAAAAAGTCGGTTTTACTTTTAATTGAAACTGAAAGTGTTTAGGTCGTTTTTATTCGAACGTTTTTCCAACTCTGTTTACAAGGTGGCTCAGTGCCTTCGTATCGAGGGTGGTTCATGGGGGTTTTGCCCCGCCATTCGATTTTTAATTTATTTTTTCTATATTTCGACTCTACTAGGGTGGGGGATGCCGTGGTTAAAATATTTGCACTTATTTCGCAGTCACCCTGTATAATGCAGTGCTGTAAGTTTATGTTTCCGCAACAACACAGGAGTAGGTTATTTTATTTACGATTATTTACATGGAATTTGCCTAAGGCCCTACTACAGAAAATGGCAATTTTACGTCTCTTCCGAAAAGTTATACTGGCTTCCAAAATATAGTGCGTTTATGGCTTTGACTTTTTAAGTATTTTACAGAGGATCCTTTATAAAACTCAACAGCTGCAAACCGCGGCACGTGCCACCGTCAGAGAAATACGCAAAGGGCCGTACTTCAACCGTCTTCTCAGGCAAGCGGATTTGTGACACGCCGCTGTGCTGGGTTTTTCAGTTTCTATAAATGTTACACTGCAATTAAGTCATGAAAAAACTATATTTTGGCGACTACAATAGGTATACTAGACGCAAACATTTATTCCCACTATAATTCAGTCACAGCCGGATACTTACTGATAACCTACCTGAAAAGACCTTTTCTGGTAAAAACACAGGGCAATACTGTCTCGGGCCTCCCTGACACGTGGCTTGCTTTGCATTTGCTAAGTTTTGAAGGGTCGGCTGTAAAGTACTTTAAACGTCAAAGCCATAAACCCCCTAAAATTTTGCGTCTAGTATAGTTCTTGCATAGCGAGGCTTACATTTATTACAGGACACCATTGCGTATTGGCCCACACACTTTATATGAAATATCAGAATATTTCTAACTTAAGTTATTACCTTTATACATAAGGAACAATGTATCAGTTTTGATACGTTCAGATTAACTTATTAACATAATACTGTGTTCCCAAAATTTCGGACAAACGCAGTATACATACCTCGCTTTTGAATTCATTAATAAAATAAACGGCTGCACTTATCAATTTCTCTGACGCAACCTATGCGGACATTTCGAAAAAATAAGATTACCAACAAATTACATTTTGATGACAACCTGTGCAAAATTTCAGAGCAATCGCTTTTGCATGGTAATTTTTAAAATAAATTTTGTTGCATAGTTCAGATGTTTTCTTCCCAAAAATTTTCAAACGTAAAATTAAGATGAATTAATAAACTACAGGTATAGGATGATATAGCTGTTATGTTTAGTCGTTTAAAAAATTACTTGCCTAACAAAGTTTTCAGCAAACAGATAGACAACAGAAAAATAGGAAACAAGAAATCTAAAAAGTCGAAAAAACATGAAATTAACTCCATTGAAACCTCCTGCAACGGATACCTCCAGACAGAGGACAATTTTCACTGTCCACGTATAAAATAAGTCATATAATGTAAAGAATCCTCCAAGCAACGGACACGGACAGAAAAATTGCGGAACTTTTAGTTTTTTTCCTATAAAAATTACCTCTTCACAACGGACAGGTAACACGTAACTCTTTTCAACCCCACACCGCTCATCATAAATATGGGTTTTTTTCCAAATAGCAAAGTTGTGGTAGTTTTGTTTGTCAAGTGCGAATGAACTTAGAGAACATTATTCATTGAACGTTTACGTTTAAAGGTTGTAACATGGCCGCTAAGTAA